CTCTCTCTCTCTCTCTCTCTCTCTCTCTCTCTCTCTCTCTCTCACACGCACGCACAAACACACACAATATATAAGCATTTATTATTACTTCTAAATATATGTATCAAATAAGAATATATGTACCAACATACTTCATGATATATGGATAGCATAGCAAGAGATGGTAATCTAAATGAGATCGCTTTTTGTTGTCCTGATTTATCGACCACTTCTAGATTATATAATCCAATTAACAGAGTTTCAAGGGAGCGACAATTCTGGAAATTAGGTATTATTAATAAATGTACTGTTAGAACATGCTACAGTAATTGCTAAAAAAAATAGTCGACAGAATAGTTCTTTATGAAAGTTATAATATAAGAAATACAAGAAAAGATTATCAAAATACATACACATACAATGACTTCGCAATTCTGTATATATCATAGTACAAGACAGTATAATAGAAAATATTAGTTTATCTATCATGTAATTTACATGACAAATAAATTAATATTTTGTATCAGGAGACGCGGTAGTGTCTCCGGCCATGTTCAATTTATCATATTGCCATTATAGAATTACAAAGTTATTGTATACATTTTGATAATCTTTTCTTATATTTAGTAATTCTATGGCAATATAGAAATACAAAATATTAATTTATCTGTCACATATTACATGTTCTTTATATTACATAATATTCTGCTTAAATATCAATTATATACTATGACAGCGTAAAACATGATTGACAAATTACACAGGTAATAACGACAATGCAATATTATTCTGTATTGTATAATATAGGTATTAATATATTATATTACGTCTTATAAGTTAACGCGGAATAAAGTAAATAAAAAATAATGCTTTTATTTGTTATTTATTTGTTGCTAGAAATTGCCAAAGAAAAAAATTTGTTTTTTTGTAATTTTTTTTTTAAATGATGTTCTGCTAAAATAAGATTGAATTAACGAAACAATATACATATAACAACAAAATTGTACACAACTACGCGCGTAGGAATTTGTGATTAATTTATTACTGTCGAAATATCCAAATTTTGAATCCGTTATTTGCGAAATAAGTGCAAATATTAACGAAAAACCTCTCAATATACAGGCGATTGTAGAACAACCAGAAAAAAAAATGGTCACTTATATTTGAGATACTGAGGTACTATCTGAAGATATTTCAAGAGCAACAAGTTCAAAAAATACCTTAGTACTAAATTTAAACAAACAATTTTTTCTCATTTTTACACTCTTGTATCTCACTAACTAAAGTTACTCATAAGTAACTTTGACATTTGAATATTTCAATAACAAATTAACAACAAATTTTTACGTTAAGTACAATTTGTTTTATATTTCTATGTATGTATACATATATTTTTTTTTGTTCCGCTATGTAATCTTCCTTTAGCAAAACATCACGTTTTAAGAAAACTTACAGAACAAAAAATTTTTTTTGGCAAAACTTTTCGACGTCAAATCAAAATAATAGTTAGAATTAACTTTACTCACTTTATTTTGCTACTCATAAAATGTCGTTACATTCTTATTTTCAATAAAAGTACAATCTTACCTTAATATCACCATGTGCAGCAGAATTTAAATAAATATATATTAGCGTCGGTAAAAATTGTAGGGTAAATCTTTGTAACTCTATTTCTCGGGATCGATAAAAGTTGTACAACTGGTTACACACTTCATCCATTAACTGTAACAATAATCTAGGATTAAAAAATATATCCAGTTTTATTTTATATGATCAAAATAGCATGTATATTTTTAACAAATAAGTATTTGAAATTGCTGACATTATTTACAAGTTTTTTTATTATTACAATTATTATTTATAAATGACATTAATTTCTAACATTATTTACAAGTAATGGTAATTAATTAATAGATAATAACAGATGTTTAATGACTCACATGTCTTTCTTTCTCCAAATAGCCATAATCATTGTGTCAATGATTATGGCTATTTCTTTTTCTAAATAAGTACATAGTATATGAGTCATATAAAGTGCCATGTCAATGTAGCGATAAACATGATATAAAACAAATTGTGTTTCCTGGTAATACAAATAATTAATTAATTAATGATAAAAGTCATAATTTATAACAAATCTTTAAAGATTTATATGTGCTTTTCTTTCTTTCTCAATGTATCAATGATTATATAAGTATGTACATGGCTCAGTTAAAACTATAAATGCAAAGTTTGATATTAAATATAATTATTAGGAAATTAGTATAGGTAATGTTCCAGTTAAAATTCCACGTATGAAAGATATTCTCTGGGCATTTATATCATACCTCGCTATACTTGGTGCGCTCCTCCAGGAGCATGTAGAGCGCCCGCACGATCTCATTGTCCTGTGAGAGCGTTCTGGCAAACATGTGCAGCTCCGATGGTGCGACATCCTTGCAGTCCGCCAGCCACTCATTAATCAAGCTTTCCGTCATTTTCTCCTCTCGCCTTCGTCAACAAACTGGGACGACTTTACCCGCGACGCCTTGGAGTCTCGGCTTCGACTGCGACTCGCTCACCGTCACGGAGATCATCACACAGGTTTAACGTGGAGCAGTCACTCAGCCACGCGCGGTGCATCAAGAAGAATTAACGCGAGCGTGCTCCGAGTCCGGTTACATGCCGCGGGGCTTCCGTCCCGTTCGCGTCGCCGATGTCGCCGACCTCGACACTGGAGCGTGACAAGTCAACGCGACCGCCGAGGTTATCACTAGTCCCTGCAGCCGCGCTAATTCTTAACTCTAGCCGATCAATGGCACGTTACTTACACGTCGGTAATGATCGCGCAAACGAACGAGTTTCAGCAGACCGTGACACTTCGTCCCGATAAGGACGAAGATCCATCGAAATCCATCCAAGGAGGAAGATAGAGGAACACGCACGATGAACGATCTCCGTTGATCTTGGTTGATCTCCGCACGCTCGTTCAATTACACCCGCTCGCCAACAGCAAGCTGCACTTGCACTTTCTCGCCGCAACTACCTGCTGTTACGCGCGGGTGCAACTTCGAGCTCACTCCGTACCTTACAACCACTTACAGCTGCGAATCCAAAAGTACTTACTACTGGAGGAAGAGATTTAAATAATGTACGGCTTGAGAAATATATAATGTGTTACGCAACGTTAAATTTAATCGACCGGAAAATGAGAATCTTCGAATCTTCTTGCGACCAACAGTCACAGCATACAGATATTCTAGATGTGCGTCCCTGTATCCAAAGACGACGCGACTGCGCAATTTACCTAAAGGTAAAAATGTTCAATAGTCCCGATCCAGAGTCTTTGGAAAATAATAAAAAAATGCGCTTTTTATATCTTCTCTCTGCTTGATACGGCAAAACGGAAACTGAAAGATGTTGAGTATCGTTTCCTAAAGCTGGTATTCGTAGTTCTTATTTTAAGACCATCTTAAATAATGTTTTAAGAAAACGCGGTTGACACTAATCAGAGAATTGTATTACTTTAGACGATCTTGAAAATCTTTAAATATACTTCAGACTTCAGATAATTTCAAATATAAAGGAATAAGGACTACTGATTATGACTGATATTCATATTAGATTATTCTTTATATTCAATTCAAAACCGTCTTAAGTTCATTCTTGACTTGAGGAATCAATCAGAAGGCCAGATCAGCGTCTTAAGACATACTTAAGCCTGAAATAACAACCGATTATGAATACTAGCCTAAGAATCCACCTGTCATAAGATCAGTGACGTCACCCTACCCTGGTTACATTACTGACAAGTGGATAAAAGTCATTCGGTGAATATCGTCAGGACTCGGCTTCGCAACGACGCGGCACGATTAGCTCCGGATTGCGCTGCGCCGTGAGGTGTTATCGCAACGAGTCAAGAAAGAGGGAGGGGAGGGGAAGTGAAAGAGAGAGAGAGGGAGAGAGGACTTGCACTACCCTCCCCTACCTACGTGCTTTGGTACACTGCGTGGTGTCGTGTGTTGCAAAGTCGCTGACATTGAAAGTATCCCGCGATAAGTGGTGCCGCCGTCGCTGCCGTCATCACTGTCGCCGCCGCTGTCGTTGCCGTGCGTTCGCCCGATGCTGAAATGAAGCAGAAGCGCGTCATGTATAGCGACGCGCGGAAACTGTGCGAGAGACAAACGCAATCGGCCCCGTACGGGCCCAGCCTCGCGTCGGACTAATGATCAATGGCTTTATTCGAGAAGAGATACACGAATAAAGTGCTGTTAGATGATACGGAGCAGCTGACGAGCGTCATCGAAAATGCTAGGACCATCGACGGGCATACGGTATGCACTCCGGTATTTCGCTTCCTCTTTCTCTTATCTACGTCTCTTTCCCTCCCTCTTTCCCCCTTTTTGTCTGTCTCTCTCTCTCTCCCTTCCCATCTCAGTTTATCCTACAATCATCTCGACTTGTTTGTCTCATTTAAATGAAACTATTGTCAAAAGGAATTTTCCTTTGTGTCCATTTTCTCTCTCTATTATTGTATTAACTTTAATTTTAGTCTAACACTTTATATTTTCTAGTTTTAAACATTGAATTTCTACTTCTAGGTTCTAAGTAATTCTTAGAACTAGAAGACAAAGTAAGTTAAATTCAAATTAAAATTAGTCTATATTGACAGAAAGGAGCTATATTTTGTCATTGTGACATTTTAATTTTGTGTACACATGTACGAATTTTACATATTGGATCATCAACTGCACAGTCAGCTGTAACGTTACGCTTTTGAACTTTGATCATTTGTATTGTGTATACAGTTCTACTTTGCACCGAATTATTAGACATGTGATAAAAACTGTGGTTTATGTATTCAGGAATACGTAATCAAAATACAACGAGGTCCACTTCCTGAAAGATCTTGGAGAGTAAGCAGACGTTACAATGACTTCGTACAGCTCAATACAGCTTTATCCATATCTGGCTTTGACCTGCCACTACCACCAAAAAGGATTATTGGTAACATGGAGCCAGACTTTATAGCTCAGCGACAAATAGCACTGCAGGTTTATCCCAATATAGCATGCTTACTTTTACTGCATTTCTGCAATACAATAAGTAGAAGATAATCTGCCTTTTATTTTATAGAATTATCTAAACATAATACTAATGAATCCTATACTGGCATCTTCGCTTTCTACAAAAAAGTTTTTAGACCCTGAGAATTATACTGCACCATTACATGGTAAGCCGATTGCTTTTGACAATGTCATACAAAGATTATTGTGAAGATGTCCAACAAATGTCAAATATAATTGCTACATAACGTAGATGAAAAAAAAAATTATTTATTTTATATATATGTATATATTACATCTACTATATTTACTGAGAGTATTATAAAGAGATAAAACTAAAAAGATGCAGTATGCACTGACCATGTTCAGTAAAATTAGCGTTTAGTTAGTATTTTGCGCTGATTTATACTTTTAGATCGCATAGTCCTATCTCTATGAAGAAAACTTTTAAGTTGCAAAATAAACATTTTACTGAACGCGATCAATATTATTCAAAAAAATGGGATGTTTTCCAACATTAAGATTATAATTTGTTTCTAGATATTAAAAGCATTATACAAGCAAATGCGCAAAATGTGAAAATTATTAATTTTTTTTTAGAAATCGCACTACAGCAAGTATCATTAGCATTACGAAGCGATGCCAATTTCGAAGTATGCAAGCCCATTCCTGATATGGGATGGCGATTGAGGAAACATTATTATACGGTGAAAAATCGTCAGAACCCGAAACAAGAACTACTACTTGCTTGGGTCGAATTTGGCCCTGACAAGCATTTACAAGATAAAGATATACAAGGGGTTTTCAAGACTCTAGGCTCTCTACGACATACTTACATCGAACCAATAGTACACCAGCATGTTACGGACAACGGGGCACTAATGATAAGAAATTTTTATTCGGCGGGCACATTACGTGACGTTTTATGTATTACCAAGCCTAAACAGCCATTTATAAAGAAATATGGAAATCCGAAACAAATAAAAGCATTAACAGTACAAGAAATTGCCACGTATGGTTATCAGGTTAGTGATTATATCGCACATGAAAATAAATTATAATGAGATATTTTGAGATTACTCGTTATGATGTATAATATCATTTGTAGATATTAGAAGCTTTAGGATTTCTTCATGAAAAAGGATTACCTTACGGACATTTACATACCGGCAATGTTCTTTTAACACCAAGATGCGCTAAATTATTGGATATAGAAAATGGACTCCTAGGATTGCCAGCGTTTTATCGGCCTTACGTGGTACAAAGACGCAAATTGCACGCTACGGTATATGTCATTCTATATCTAATGGTAACAATTAAAAGTAAAAAAGTGAAAGAGAGAGAGTATATTAATTTTTTAATTTTTAAAAAGTATTCTTTTTAAATGTTTTCTTGTATTTATCAAGATCAGTTTACCATATGTTTTTTTTTAACAGACTCAGGTTGATGTATATTCATTTGGACACGTTTTATATGAAATGACGTTCGGACGACCACTTTTGGAGGCAACGTGTTCCGATTTGCCACAGTGCGAAACGAATCTAAAGAATTTGCTGGAAGTCATCTTATCACCGGAAGCTTTGAAACAAGACCTACCAACGGTAATGCGGCTGTTGGAACATCCATTTTTTGAATCGGCGAGGCGCGCTGCATTGGCAATTGGTACTGTGGAGAAGCCGTACTTTAAATTGAGCAATCATTTAAAAGAGGCTTTACAAGAAGCTGTAAACAAAGCCGAACAACGACTGCGCGATGAACAGAAAGTTGCTCGACATCAAAAGAGGCTCGTTAAAGTTCAAGAAATGATGAGTTCAGAAGAAGAAATGAAGAAACGAAAGCATAAATTGGTGGGTATAAACAAAAAATAAGTAAAAAAAGAACACAGAATGAAAAATTATTATTGATCGAAATACAATTTTATTTTTCGATTATGTTCTATAGAAAAAAGAGCAGAGATTGGCGCAAGAACAACGGTTTTCTTCGCAACTAGGTACGAACGGGACAAAGCAAATAAATGGTAAGAGCCCAGAGCGTTCGGATAGTCCCACAAGTACTTCCACGGCTACCAGCGTTGGAACATTAACTCCTCCATCGCTTCGTAAGTTATTATAATGCTTTTCCTTGCTACTGTCGTCAATGCTAATTGACATTCACGTTTTTACATCTCTTGATTAGCTGGACACAAAAGTTGATGGCGCGTAGTCATCAAGCTGCGGTCATTCCTTTCACGTAGGTCATTCGATCATTCAGGTCTTCTTAGTATCTTTACAAATTTTCACATTTATCCTTATTTTCACTTTATAAGGTTTTCTCTCAACATTGCTTTGCATTGTTCTCTGTATAATATACAGGGTGTCCGTCCATAAGTGTCGGAGCAAATATCTCGCGGTTGAAGTTATAAGAAAGTTTAATAAAATAAATTTGTACGACTCCGAGTCAGCTACAAAGTGCATGCAAACATTTTTTTATACTCATTGCTTTTTCGAGTTATGTAGGTTAACATAGTTTTTTTAAATGGATATCTATAATTTTTTTTGCGTATTCGTATAGTAGGGAGCATTTGCAATCAAAATCATATCTAGTAAAAAATTGCTGCTATGCATCGTTACGAGATAATCGGACATCTTAGGTATTGAATCTTAAGAAGTTGATTTTCCATATCACAATTTGAAAAACAAGATTCAAACTAATATTTTGAAGTTGGTTATATCGAAAAGGATCACTGGCCTTTAACTCAAAATACGCGACTGTTTGTTTTGTAAATAAAGTATAACATGGAGTATGAAATTCAGTGCAGTATTTGTTAGTCAATCAGTCGTCTTTTCAATGAATACGTATCATATTGTAGATTACAAAAACAACGATGTTTAGTATTAGTGAAAAGTGTGATATGCTCGAGATGTGGCATTTACGTATGCGTAATGAAAATGAACTATCAACAAAAGTATCCAGAACGAAGGATACCAAATGGTCGTACATTTCGGCCACTGGTTTCGAGTTAATTATCGCAATAGCATTGATTTTCTTAAAAAAAAAAAAAATATTATGGTCTGACGAATAGTTCTATAAAAAAACATTGTTTGTTTTCTTCTCCAACCTCTCTTTGACATTTTAAACCCCGTTCAAAATTATTTAGAATCCAATTTACTACTTTGATACTTAAGATGTCGATTATCTCATAAACGATGCATAGCAACAATTTTTTACTAGATATGATTTTGATTGCAAATGCTTCATACTATACGAATATGCAAAAAAAATTAGGTATCCATTTAAAAAAACTATGTTGACCTATATAACTCGAAAAAGCAACGAGTATAAAAAAATTGTTTGCATACACTTTGTAGCTGACTCGGAGTCGTACAAATTTCTCTTGTTAAACTTTCTTGTAACTTCAACCAGTTGCGAGATATTTGTTCCGACACTCATGGACGGACATCCTGTATACTCATTTTTTGTAATAACCGTTTTGTAATTATATCCTTAGCTTATCTTGTACTTATTCTTTTTAGATCTTTCGATGTTGTTTATATTATATGTACTTATTATAGGTCTAATTAGTTTTGTATTGTACTTTATATCTCCAAAGAGATAAGTTAGATAATGTTTTGTTGAATTTCTTAGGATGAAATATATGTGAATCTATGGAAAGTCTATCATTTTGATTTTTTTTACTAAGGTTCTGTGGAAGTTACGCAAGCAAATGCAGTTCCTGGTAAAGGTATTTCACCACCACCACCGCCACCTTCGTTACCACCGTCATGTGAAGCATCCAGTAGTGCATCGAACAGTGTATCAAAATCGTCAAATGATCGTGCTGCTTTACTTGGAAGTATTTGCAATTTTGACAAAACGAGACTGCGAAGGATTACAAATGGACACCGTTAGAAACATTAAATATATAAAAGAAAAGGTCAACCAAATATCTATTTCAAATCTGACGTGACTGTTGTGCAATGTCGAACAAAGAACTTCCCTTGCTTAATTAGGACAAGATAACGTACCTGTAGATTATTATGATGGATTGAAAGGTTGTTTGGATGATAACTGTATTGTGCTTCTTGTGACACATAATGGTACTGAATATCATTTTTCTTCGATCGCGACACTTGCACACATTTATGAATTTTTAAACTTTCGATATTTTATTTATTGATGCTCGCTACATAAACAAGATTTTAGCTTAAAACAATTATATTAAGAGAATATACTATATTAAATTTGTGATATATATATTATATATGATCGATATTAGTCCCGTTTGGCCTACTCTACGTTTTTACGAAATATAATACAACACTTACTTCGTTTGTATTAGATCTGCCGTCCAAGAACGAGCCTAAACGTACAGAACAACCAATCAAAATATCAATTGCTTTGGAAAATTGCCATCTTTACGAGTTGTCTCATATCATATTCTTTCCATATACACGCTAGAGATAGAAAAGGATTGCGTAAATAAAAAAAATTTGTATAATATAATAGCAGTATATAATTGTATATTATCTAATTTACGGAACATGCATACAGTAATAATGCTGGGAGCAATTTGAAACATTTTTAGATTTATTTTAATTGATATTTTTATGACTGCTCGACTGTAAATCAAGAATATACATTCGCGATATAATTAATCGAGAAATTCCATTTTCTAGTCTAACATATCCCCCTGTTATACAGTTAATAGCACCATAAAATTTTATAACATATCTTGTTTAACGCGGGCCAAGTTTCGCGATCGATTTTATATTGTTAATCGAGGCTTATATTTCTCTTTCTATATATATCAAATTTTTTTTAATACAAAAGAAAATGTAAAGGCAGTGATACAATGAGGTGATAGTATGTATATTAAGTAAATTTTCTCTCGTTATACTCATCTACTGTTCTGTCTATTCAAAGTTTATGACATACATAATATATATAAAAAAATATATAGTTCTCGTTCGTGTTCGTACGATACAATGCGAGGATCATACGCCGCTTTTGTATCGCTTGTAACACTGGAATGTCCAGTTTTACAAATTAAAAATGTGCCAAGGGATATGCGATCTTCGTATTGATTACATAATATTAGCAGTTATGTAGCCCATAGCATAATCTATTTCTATATATGTCAACAACAGTCAAGTGTATAATCAATTTGTGGATATTATAATGAAATCTGTAATATATAATCACACCTTTTAATATATTTATCACTATCTTAGATGTATATGACAACTGTGTAATTGATTCCATGAATTGGTTTCTGATGGTGATAATAATAACTCAAACGGCATATAAATAATAAGATAGAAATATATATATATATATATGTTAGGATTATATATTTATCTCTATTCTTCAGGATCTACCGATAATTATATCAGCTTCCAAAAGGTTGTCTACATACACTTAACAGTATAAGGGCTCAGACAGACGAGCGATTTTGTAGCGCCACAATCGCAAACGTCGACCCGTTCATACGGAGCTATGTGAACGTATTCGCGACAATTCGCGATGCTTTTCTGTAACGCCAGCTCCGTATGAACGGTCGACGTTTGCGATTGTGGCGCTACAAAATCGCTCGTCTGTCTGAGCCCTAAAATAAGTTCATGTAATTTTATGAAATTTAAGTTTAGCGAAATTTCGCAAAAAATATGACATTATCAAAATCTATATCAATATATTGACAATATAAATATTTTTTGGAAAAAACAAACGAAGAACGATAGATATTAGAGTTAATGTTTATCGATAACAAAATATACTATTCTTTTATGGTAAATTGTGTTTATGCACATAGGAATAAAATCTTCAGATGATTAACAAACTCTTTGAGAGTCTCTTATAATTGGCATGATTTTTATACATTACTTTATTAAGATTACCCTTTGCAGAATCATTGCCTTACACATTTGTAAACAACTAGTGTATATAGTATGCAGAAATGGTGTAGAAACTTTATGTATTCTAGGGAAGGGAACAAAAATTTTATGTTTATTGTTAAGAGAAATGTGCAAAACGATAAAACAAACACAAGTTTTTATTTCAGACGCTAGAGAAAAACGATATTTTAATACTTAATAATATATTCAACAAGTATATGATACATATATAAATTTATCACGTTCGAATAGCCCCAAAAAATTTTGATAGCAGTCCGTGTGTATAGTACTTGGCTTAGCGCCGAGACACTACCGTGTCTCCAGATATAAAAGTATGTGTATTCAACATTGTGTATATACGCACACGTACGGGAGCATACATACATAGATATGCGATTTGTCATAATAACAGCTGTTGTAACGATCTTAAATATATCGCAATAAATATTCAAAAAAAGCTATCATGCATCATCAACAAACGAATACATTGAGTTTTTCTTCAGCTATTGAACAAAGTGGTACAAAGTATATTTCCTATCCGTGCTCCATATTCAAACGAGTTTTTAAGTAAATTTTAGAATTACATATTATAATTTACGAATAGTAAGCGAATATTTCGCGCTATACAATAGTTATAACGCTTGTTTTTGTTTTAACTACAAATATGAATTATGAATTTCCTAATAAAATTAGTATAAATTAATTGGCACGATGCTTGTAACGAGAACTTGTAACGAAATTATTAATAATAGTTAAGTGTTCGCTTTATTCGCGCTAATTATGACACCTTGGATTTTAGAAAATAAAATAATGGATGAGGTACTGGCATGATTTTTACAGTTACGTTATTAGACTTTAGTTTCATTACGTAGTCCCCGCTTGTACTATCAAAACTTTTATTGACAATCATTTTAAAATCATAATAATGGTACAATTATTCTTATTCGTACTATGTACATATGTAATAAATAAGAAATCCTACTTTTGCACGCGAGAAGTAGGACATCTTATATATAGATATTTATAAATCTGTATATATAGATATTTATAAATCCTGGATATAGATTATTATACAAGACGTTACTCATAAAATATATAACTCTCCGAGAATATATTAGGAATATATTAGCAAAATGTATCAAAAGTTCTTGCACTTCTCCGCTAGAAATTTCTAATAAAATTGCAATCAACTTTTTCTTCATTAAAAAATTTGTTCGCGTCACTATTTGTAATATAGAAATTAAATATCTGTAATGAAACCAATAAAAATCAAATAAAATTTATTATTAATATTTTATATATATAAAATGGTAATTAAACAAAAACTAAATCTCGTGAAGATCTCAATAAATCGCTTAAACGGATCTCAATTTCATATTAATAGAAAAATATGTAACATTGCGGAAGCAAGTGCGTAACTTTATAGATGTATTCTGTAGGCGTATCAAGTGATCTCTCGAAGAATTATAAGGAATAATTTAAAAGACGATGGAAACATCGTAGTTCGCAGAATGACTTTGATACTTACATTACTCAGTATTGTCAAAAATACTACATATTACAATACAAAAGTACGCATTAAAAAGAAAACTAATTTCGTACGGATTTATGTTTACATACAAATCTCACTTTTGTTGACATGAATTTCTCTTTATATTTTTGGCAAATTAAGGCTAGATGGAGGAACGACGAAAAAAGGATAATTTTCGTCATAACTTAGCATGAAGTTTTTCCGTCGCTGCTTTCAATCTGAAAATGTTTAAATATTTTTTCACTTTCTTTGTTCCATCAAGCATTATTCAATATAGTTCGAAATATTAGATTAATATAATTATAACTACCTGGAAAGCTCTTGCTGTATGCGATCAGTTATCGCTTTTCGCGCATCCACCTCACTTGCTTTTGATTCCCGCAATTCGGTCAGCAATCCGCTAAGGTCTATGGGCTCACCGTAATTCATGGTAACTCTTTTTCCCACTTTAAGCATATACGGCGGTTCGTTGGGGAGTACTTCATCCATACCGAGATGACAGATAGGAATTACGATAGGTGTGATGGGTGACTCTAATATCAACCTACCCACGCCCCATTTTAACCTAAACAGTATCATCGATTGTATATCCTCGCTGAGTGTGACTATAGTATTATTAACACGAAAATAAGAACCTGAGGTGTTTTTATAGCGACAAGAAAATGTAAATTGTTGTAAAATATTATTTAACATATTTCTCTTTTTAATAATTACTCTTTATAAATTTTTAAATGTGCAATAAAAAAACGTTATATTAATTTAAACCTTGTTTTGTTAAATACTGTTATAATAAGCTACTTACTAACATACTTGTTCTGTTCAATATTTGCTTGGTTTCTATTTACATTTTTAACAAAATTCTAATTGAATCCATATTCATATTCTCAAATATTAATAAATCGGACAACAATTATTAATATAGAATATTTTGTTAATAATAGTGATAATTGGAATATAAAACTACTCCAGGCAATCATTTATGTTGTGGCAATTATATTACCATTATTTTGGCTGCAAAAACTTTCTAAGATTTAAAGACATGAGAATATTCGCGTACCGAGAAATTGCGAGAACATACATTAATATCGGAGACTTGTTCAACTGTTCGGAGTAGAAAAACAGATAACATTGAGACAAATACAAAATAAACATGGAACAAGTAAACCAAAATCAGACGACTACTTCTGGATTAACTTCTACAAAACGCTCATCTATGCACCACCTCATTTTTCATACATGTATGGAGCTTTAAAAAGATAACATTTAATTTAATAAGTTACTGTTATTAAAAATTTTTACAATTTTTAGTTAATTTGAAGTTATAAAAATGTAAATTACAAATTATAAACGTTTTTTCTTTTTTTAATTGCATTAAAATATACACGACGACGAGTAAACTTTATAGACAATATTCACGGATTATGTTATCAGGTCTCAGAACGAAAGATTGCAGAAGTAACTCGAGTACAAACCTCATCTCTTCCTTAAGCATATTGACTTTTCCCTCGGGGAAGACATGCACCCACTCGCCAAGGGCCAACCTTTCGATGCAGAAGTCCATGGCTTCCTGATACACGCCGTCGCCTCGTACGATGGGTATGCACTTGCCGAGCATGAAAAAGTAGGAATGCCAGACATTCGTGAAACAAATGTCATGCGCGGCGAGCGACCATCGTACCTTACGTCTGCTAAACGCGTGCCTGGAGTCCAGGGTCGCTAAATGAGTTCAGAGATTTTTCTGTCTTAAATTCTTTCATTCGCGATCGCATATCGGCGTCGTTCTGAGAAAGAAAAACACGTCTCAAAAGAGGGACAAAACGTACATAGAGAATGTCGAGATTACAAAAAACTAATATTTGTCTTTAAAAAAAAAAATAAATAAATAGAAAATATTGCTTTCAATTATTATCGGCACACAATCAAACATTAGAGACACAATGAAATGAAGAACAAAAAATATAAGGAAGAGAAAACGAAGAACATATATGATAAACGAAGCATCGATAAACGAATAACGTAGATATGCTTACTGTATCTCATTGTCAACTAATGGATGCTTATCGTCATTGTTCTTCATTCACGTTGGATCAATTCTCATAGCTAATCATCTTATCGTCATTATTTACCGTCAGTTAATGATGCATGTCTCGTGTATCAGCAAGATTAAAACCTTATGCACAATGAGAAACACAGACAATAAGAACACATTCTCAAAATATAAATCAAGTAAGAAAAGCGCTAATTACTGTCGAAATTAGATGTTGAAATATTATTCTTATATATATTTTAAATACATTTATCTCAGACGCACATATAACTGCGCGTCAATTACTTTCAGATTTCAGACTTACAACACAATTAAATTGAAATAATAATAATTTCAAATAAAATTTAATCGCCAATTTGTTGCTAGTTACTAATATCTCTGTAAAAGTTTAAGATACTATCATTTTAGGTTGAGTATGTTACAAGTCCGAAAGTAACTGGCGCACAGTTATACATCTGATTGTGAGATAAATGTATTTAATAGAATACATATATAGAAATATTCCAATGTCTAACTTCGTATTATTATACTATCTATAGTTGATGTTTCTGAGTTGATTTACTCATATACCTAGTGATCTTATTCTAACACTCTAATGTTTAAAAAATGTAAATATGCATTTAATATCCATGTAGATTAACATTAGCGCCAAGACACTACCGTGTCTCCAGATTACGATTTAAACGATCTAACATCAACATGGTATTAAGTTCGTATGTATATTTTTTAGAGTGTAGAGAGTAACACGGACAATATGTATCAATTAATACATATTGTATCATCAATTGATATATACGGTTTCTCATGGATTGAAATTTTGCCTGTGTTAAATGCACAGACAATAAGAAAACAGGGAATAACAGATTTCGATCTATCAGAAATCGTCTATACTAGAATACATAGTTTTGATAGATTGAAATCTGTTATTCTCTGTTCCTATTGCCTGCTTTTCAATTATGCAGTCTAAAGCCTAATCTACGAGTCAACATGCTCTTCCTGTTTCTTGCTTTATATCTCATGCTTTTTTCATTTTTGCGACCGTTTTATCGACAATCGCGTTTCCTTTAACATGTTTCTTATCTTTTTCGAAATTCATCAACCTTTATTTTAGGCAACAGAACAAAAATTGGATACGAGACAAAGAAGCACGAAATAAAAAGTGATAAAAAGCAAGAAATAAGAAGCAAAAAGCACATTGTAGATTAGGATCTAGGTTTTGTTCTCTATTCTTGTGCTTTTTATTGTGCATAAAGTTTAAATTACCACGATTCAACAATAAAAAAGATAATGTATTAACAGCTTATTGAAAATAATTTTGTTAATTCAATGACATCATTTAATAAAACAAATACGTTACACACTCTTGCAAAATAAAATTTTATTTGTTTTGTTAATATTATTGTTAAATCAATAAAATTATTTTCAATTAAAATAATATTGAAACATCGTTTTTTTTTTTCAATAATGTAATTTCGAAGAAACGAATCGAATCAATCGCGCTCTTTTGCACACGCTATCAGTAATTTTATTTAAAAAAATAAGGTTTTTTTTCGATCGAAATGAATTTTTGTTCAATCTCTCAATAACCGGTCGGTCCCACATCGCCATAATATGACAATGTACTTTGTCCTTATGTTTCATTGCGTCCGTGACTTTATAACTGCGCGGCCCGGGATTGTAAAGAGTGCCTCGAAGCATGCAGTTTTATTAAATGAAAGAATGAACGGACCGCCGGCATTATACACCCCGGATGATTCGTATGTTCCGCATACGCGGCATTTTATTTTTCTCAATTTCTCGAGACGATAAATCAGCCGCGGCGCACAACGCAAAGTCTTAGTCCCGCGTGAGGCTGAACGCGGGGGAGGGAGGAACTGATGATACGTTATTATACGCAATGCCGAGAGGCATTTAACAAACGACGTAAAGGGGAAAAAAAAGTTTCTTACCCCATATACCCGGATCGTCGAAGCAACTGTGATGATTCGACACGGTAATGAGCGGAACATTTTTCGGCCGGAGGTCTAAGGCGCGCACAATAATGTGCTTGTTGTACACTGTCGTTTTGTTCAGCCATTCTTAAATGCAAAAGAGAGGTTTTTTTTTTATTAGATTATGTCATAAGAGAGCGGTATTCGATGACGCGGTAGCAATCCGAGATCCCGCGATAAGTATAGCTTTGATCCTTGAATATTTCGCCGGATACATTATCGAAATAGTTACTTTACACGATTCATTCTCAAAAATGCTCCAGTTTCTATTGTCTTGTGTTACAAATTGTTTCGGCGCTATCTGCAATTGTCCGTAATTATCCGTTTCCGTTTATGATACTTCAAGTTACATAAACACATTGAGAAAGAGGGTGGAAGAGAGAGAAGAGAAAAATAGAGAGAATTAATGACGAATGCTACGGTTAAAGTTAATGCTACGGTTAAAATTAATGCTACAGTAAAATTTATGCTATACCATACGTAAAACTATGCTATACCATAAAATAAGGTATGAGATTTTAGGTATCCATACTTCACTTTTATCGACAAATGTATCTCTAATGCACATTACAGTTTACGTTACGCATATACTACAAAATCTCAGAAATAGATGAACGAATATATTGACAAACGTGAGGTATAAATATCTACAAAGCAAGTTGGCATTTGTGTCTAATTGTTTAAAAAAATCTTAGGTCAAAATTGAAAACTGTACTAACAAGTACCGGTCTTCCTTAATCGAATCAGTCAATCACAGTAGAGACTTAAGGGTACCCTTCGGGTCTTTTTAACGTTTTTTCAAGAATTTTTTTTTCATAGTAAAATGTATTTAAATTCTTCGAACTTTTTACACATTATTAATGTTACAAATGAGCATGTAAAAAAATTCTTTTTTAATTTTTCGCGCACGTGCGGCGTCAAAATGGTGGCTTCAGTGGTTGGTCGTAAAAATCTGGTGGACGTGATATCTCCAGTTCGAAACGCTTGAAATAAAAAATCCAAACAGATTCTTAAAATACATGTTCGTGACTATAGCCGGTAGTAAAATTAAACGTTTTAAACGTAAAAAAACAAAATGGCGACGTTTTGAATTTATTTACCCCTTTTTCACCCGTAAAATGATAAAAAATAGGGGTTAAAAATCAACGAAAAATAATGATTTTACTACGGGCTAAAACTACACATGTTCTGAACAATCCCTGAAAATTTCAGCCCGATCGGTTAAATAGTTTTTACAAAATCGTGTCCACCAGCTCGAAAAACCTTGTTTTGAGGAAAACGCGTTTAAAGTTTTTGTTCGCATAATCGTTAGTATAATCATGAAAAAAAGTCAATCAGCGATGCCAGCTCCATACATAATGCCTTCGGTTTCTTCGTAGAACTCGTTTTGAAACTCGTTTTTGGTATATTTGAAAATTCGAATTTTTCGAAAAAAATAGCCCCGAAGGTACCCTTAAGACAATAACATAAACAGTAGTAAATATAAAATGTTTATTTGTTTACTGCTTACATCTTACTGTTTTTTTATGTGGCATAACCTTTAGTCTAAGAAAAATGCACAATAAAATAATAGATGATTCTGTTATTATTGGGTGTACAACTTTGCTCCCGCCGTTTTTACATGTATAAATTTATACCTGTAAAAACGGCGGGAACAAAGTTGTACACCAATATAATATATTACGTAATTAAATAATAAATTGCTGTGACTGCGTGACAAAAAGTTGTTGTTGCTAGTTAGAAAATATATGAGTAATCTACAAGTATATAAATTGAAACGTTGATACGCAAATGCATAAATTACCGTAGTATTCGAATTATTGTGTTTCTAGAAGTAGTATAGTGCGAGAAAAATTATGAAACTTACGCACAAAAAGTATAATTTTTCGAATAAATTGGTAAAATTTATAAATATTATTATATATATTTTTTTTTTTTTAAATTTGACATTTTATAATTTAATTTCTTGACTCTTATGCCATTTATATGCATTTTTTAATTTATTTATTAATAAGAGTCCTTAAAACTTATACTTTTATAAATATTACGCTTTTGTAAATAGATTTATTTATTTGCATTGACATCAATAAAGAAAAAAATCAGAAATAAGCTCAGGATTATATATATAGCTTAATAAGACTAAAAATTTATATATAAATAATTTTTTGTAATATTCATTTTCACTGTTTGTAATTTTTATAAAGAATTATTAATAATTAATTTATTATACATATATTATTATATGCAACTTGATTAAAAATATGTAACTTAATATATAATTTAATGTACTATATATATGTATATATATAATTAAAAAATTTTTTTCTTTATATCTTATTTTAATAAAAGAAAAATACAGCCAAATGTATTTCTGCAACTTTGACAATTATGTTAAATTGCAATTTTTCTACTCAATAATTTGATATTTCCAAATGCAAACGTTTTGATTTTAAAACTTATATATAGTATTCTACATTTGTGTTAAAGTCAGTTTTTGTTAATATTTTGTCGTTGAACTTTTAACATATCTAGAATGTTAGTTTAATAAAATTAATTACATGAAATTTGTGTTAAATTGATATTTTATATCTTTTAATATATTAAAATCATACATTAAAATTAAGTGAACAAACAATATAAACGTAATACAGTTTTACAATGCTAATTCTGAAATGAATGAATAAAAGATGGATGTACATGTTTAACATATTAATATCTCAACATAGTTTAACATATTATAAATGTTAATTTTACTGACAACGTATGTCCACAATTTATTTCCAAATCATATCAAAGTGTCATATTTTTGTGTTAATTTTTACATAATGTTATATTCTATTGTAATATGTAATAAATCGTATATGGTCTTCTTTTTAGTTCAACTTTTTACATGGTTCATCTGTCTTCTATCTATCTTTTTAACACTAAAAAGAAAGAGAGGAAAGATCAACTGTTATTGCAAATAAATAAATCTATTTACAAAAGTGTGTTATTAATTTATTCGAAAAATTATACTTTTTATGCATAAGTTTCATAGTTTTCCTCGCACTACTTCTACAAATACAATAATTCAAATACTATAGTAAATTTATGCATTTGCATATAATGTTTCAATTTATATACTTACATTGTAAGATCATCTAAAGGTTATTCATACATTTTCTAACTAGCAATGACTTCTTGTCACACAGTCATGGCAACTTATTATAATTAAATGTATATTTTAATAGACATAAAAAATCAAGTAAAAAGAATAGACTTATATAATCTTGTATTAAATTAACACAAAAATAAACCGTCAGGGACACGTAAAATATGTTAAATTTAATATAAATTTTCCAACTGTTTACATTTAAACATTTTAATGGAAATTAAAATATTTTCATGTAAATGTTGTTTCCTAAAATTTATGGAAATCAATGAATACGATGGATTGTTATGCTCAATCCAAGATAATTCAAAAAGCATCAAGACTGCTTTGTTTTCAGAACTTTACTTGTTTACAACATTACACACAGTATGTGTCATATTGTACGAGACTGTCTATTCTATAGCTATTATAATTAACCATTATGATTGGTAATACAATGAGACTGATCTCTCTCTCTCTCTCTCTCTTCTTCTCCTTCCAGTAAAATGATATTGGTAGATAAGGTTTATTTCGATCATCTCACATATCGTAATCCACGTAATTATATCACAAGCGCGATCGTACACTCCTCGGACGTATTGACAATTTATTTCTTTTCTCATAACAATGTCGACGTTTTCAGCACAGCCTTTATTATCCACGATGCGGTATACGTGTCGTGATGGTAAACGACCATGCTCCGATGTCTCCGCGCGACGACGACGATCATCGTCAATGTCAATCACGACAAGATGCCGTATTGGGTGCTATATGCTTTTTATTCAACCTTCGTGCACATCGCCGTGATCGAGCAATGGCTCTCGTATGCGAAACGCACAAGGAAACGCGCCAGCACCCTATCGCCCATCAATGAACCTAAAACGTTGGACGGAATCGATGCGGAATCGCTCAGCGTACCGTATCGTTCGAGCGATCCATTTTTAGGGCGATCGCGCTGAGAAATTGCACGCGTGGGCCGGCACGCGCGACAACGTGCTCTCTTACCTATGATGATTTTCGAAAAAATGCCCACCGCCGCGAAGGTTATGCTGCTCGCGATGTTCCACAGTCGGGACGGGTTCCGTAATTTCGGTATGATCCACTTAATGTCGTATAACATCGCGCCGACAGCCACCACCGTGCCCGACGACTAACAAGAGCGGACGGCGGCGCGGCGATTGTCTCGACGATCGGGAAACGACTTCCCCGCGATACACCGTCCGGTCTTTCGTAACGCGCGGCAGCCATCTTCGTGGCGAGTCCGCGCGCCATGTTTCGCTACGCGGTCACGTGGTCGCGCGAGCGCGACCGAGCGGCACCGGACGGCAACCGATCGAGACCGAGGGCGTCGTTGAATCGCGTGGCGCCACGCTACACCTGATCCACGAAATCGAATTCAGCTGCGCTCCCGGCTCGCGCGGTAATTATTACATAGGGTGTCGCGTTAAGTTTAGAATTTATGTCAGCCTTTCCTTTCCGCTTGACATCCTTATCACTCGCACGCGGCATTGTCACCGATTAGTGATTACCATTGCCTTGCGCGCATTATCGGTGCGATTAGACTAGATGACTTAAGTCTTTTTTGTACTCTTTGCGTCAATATGAAAATTATTAGACGTTTAATATGTTACTGCGAATATTCAAATATATGAAAATGGCGCACAATCATGTGACGTCCGAAATATATAATATTACTTAAAATTTTAAGTTTATCGATTATATTATCACTTTTGTTATATCGTTGATTTTTCATAAGGATTCTTTAACTTTATTTATTGGACTATGACTTATGGGCCTTCTACAATAAGTCATTACTTAAGTTTTACGTCATAAGAAATTTACCAATCATAATCGAATGTGAGAAGAATAATCGATTGCGAGTGCAGGTCAATTTCTTATGACTTAATACTTATAACTTATAGGTAATGGCTTGTTGTAGAAGGCCTATTACAGTTTCAGGAAATGAAAAGTTACCTTTTGAAAGCAACAAAAGTTACAGTATATTTGTTTCTGATTTTTAAATGTAATTTTTGTTACAGTCACACCGTTACTTGGTAAGTAATTATTCGTTATTTTTTTGTATTTTAAAAATTAGTCTAAAATAAGTGTTAAAATAAAAACAGTCTAAAAATATACTTTTGTAACATTTTTGTTTAAACGTTAATCAAAAAGTTAATAAAAATATACAGCAATGACACTTACTTTATTTTTCAGTTTTTTCTTAATAAAATAATTTCATAATTCTGAAACTTGTAAAATATGCGGCAAACTGAGACATCTATCCGATATATCACATAGAAATGTCTTATTAAATTTTACATGTGTACTAACAAATCCGCTTTTGATTATTTACGTTTCCTATAATTTCACAAGCACCGAGTTTTGCTGGATACTTACTCGAGAAAGAGAAATAAACTTTAATGAGAAAAATACATCTCGATTTGATACAGAGAAAAAGATCTGTGCTCCTTTACTTAAATTTTTTAGATATCGAAACGAAAAAAGAGTACGATAATAATCTTGGAAACAAAATATTATTTTTCAGAGACTGAATTCGATTCGATATTATTTAAGCACATATCGATTTCTGATATAAATGTAAACAAAGAGTCCTTAAAAACAATTAAGAAGTAAAAAGGCAAAGAGCCGATAATATAACAGACATAAATAAACATTTAATTTATGCTCAATTTCTTCACTTCCAGATAAATAACAGATAACTTTATCGAGGAGATATCTCCATTGTATTCTGGCAGATATCTTCTGGATAAAGATTATCTAGAGATGAAAAAATTGAGCATTAGAGATAATGTAGCTACATTATCTCTAAATCAAATGTTTATTATGTCTGTTATATTATCATCGGCTCTTTGCCCTTTTATTTCTTAATTGTTTTATATTTATTGAGTCCTTAAAAAGCCAAGAAATATGTATCTCAGGATCAGGCGATAGAGAGTAATAATTTATTCTTTAAAAATATTGAAAAATGTTGATTGAAAAATATTTCAATATTTTTAAAGAATAAATTATTAATTACGTACAAAGAACCACGTCTGACTCTATCGCCTGATCCTGAGATACATATTCCTTGGTTTTTAAATATCGAGAGTTCGTAAGGAAATTACATTTGACTTCGTCCTTAAAAAGATTTGATTTACTAATGATTCAGTTTTGCTTGTTGATGCAGATAACTTTAATGATGGCGGAACAATTAGTGTTATTCATGAACCATGCGTAGTTTCGATAAAATGCTAGTTGCTAGCAACACTAGGACATAATTTCGATAGTTTAACTATAAATCAACATTATTAACCCTATTATCTTCGTTCGATTTAACATCTTTTTCGCGATTTAATTATTATATATTACGGTTAGACGATCGAATATCGTGCGTCCAACGAAGCAAGTATGCACACGGACGAGAACGAAGAGATCTGAAAGTGGAAAACGAGTGGAGGGCATGGCGAACGCGGAATATTAAGCGTGGGAAAAAAGACGTGCAGGAGAACAGGGCAGGAAGGAAGAAGCAAGAAACGGATACCAAGAACTTCGGACTGTGCTTCGGACCGAGCGAAGGGTCCTTAAGTAGAATACGAACGAAGGAAAAGTATGGTTTGGATGTGAAACGTCACAAAATTTTGCCAATTAAGGAAAAAGGAAATATACAGATAAGATATATTTCTCTTCCGAAAACTCTCATCTGTGTAATGTCTTTCTCCTAAAACGAATATAATCATTATTCCAGTCTATTTACGTATTCTGATTGTATTTTGCCTCTCCCTCCTTTTTTTTTCTCTATAGGCAGGAGCCATAATAATATAAATGTTAACAAGAAAGAAGGAAGCACAAAGCTAAGCCTATCTCGGTCAAAGCTAGATTTCGATGCTTATTATCATTATGTGTGAATTTTATATACCGCGTATGTAGTTCCTCTAATCGCGTGCCGAAAATTTTTTCAGACTTTACAACGCAACTCTAAATAACTACCGCGGTAATATCACTTTAATTGACAATCAATCTAACAAATTTCGATGCTTATAGCATCTTATTAGATCTTAATAATATGTTGAAAGACATATATTAAAATTTAATATTAAAGTAATGATAATTTAAAATCTGTGAAAAATTACACCGGCTTCTAAGGTAGGCTCCCACTACATTACCTTACTAATGAGTCCAGTAGTGGAAGCCGGGACGAAACGCCAATTTGTGATATTCTTCGCAATCTTAATTTTTCACAGATTTTAAATTATCATTACTTTAATATTAAATTTTAATATATGTCTTTCAACATATTATTAAGATCTAATAAGATGCTATAAGCATCGAAATTTGTTAGATTGATTGTCAATTAAAGTGATATTACCGCGGTAGTTATTTAGAGTTGCGTTGTAAAGTCTGAAAAAATTTTCGGCACGCGATTAGAGGAACTACATACGCGGTATATAAAATTCACACATAATGATAATAAGCATCGAGATCTAGCTTTGACCGAGATAGGCTTAGCTTTGTGCTTCCTTCTTTCTTGTTAATTGTTTAACAATTGTATGGTCGTATAAATATAAAATTAAGATTCGATTATTTGTTAATATAAATGTTATTGTAATATTAATATTAATTTTAAATGTAACTTTACTTTTGCCTCTTACATCGCCCTTTCGATTTGTATTAATTATTGTTATATTAAGAGTCCTTGAATATTTTCATGTTGTTAAATATAAATGTTACTATCGTAGAGATTATATCGCCATTGTTTTGATCGCGAAAACTTTCAGACAATAATATTCGTGTTTCGAGAAGTCGCTTGAAAACATACGCGAATAAAGACCTGTTCGGCTGTTTGAAAAACTGTAGGAAAAAAGGACAACACGGAGACAAGTACGAGACATATAGATACGGTATAGAGCGTGTACATTTGAAATCTTTAAATCGAAGCTTTCACAACGATCGGAAATACATAAACAGTTTCTTTCCGAGGGTCAGGTCAAACAGGTACGATCGCGAGATGAGAGACGAGAGCGATACACTTGTTCGCCGGCTCTCGTCACTTGCGGTTGACACGCGTGAAAAGTAACGCGCGAAAGTCAAGATTTTATACTCGTGCTAAATATACTGACTCGTTGATACCGTTCGTCATCCGTGTGGTAATTATTTATATAATTCGAGTTCATTAAACACATCATAACTAATTACTCTCTGATTGCATCTTTCATGAACGTAGCTATGGCCGGAATCAGACTACGCATTGAAGATTGAGATTGAATTTTGGCTAATCAAAATAAGAGTTCAAATTTCTTTATCCTCATTGGTCAAATTTCAATTTTCAATCTCAATCTTCAACGCATAGTCTGATTCCGGTCTATGACACGTTAAGTCGGTTTTAAATTAGTTGCAAGCCGATCACAAGTTCGTTGCGACAGCCAATCTCAAGCTTGCATTTTGAAATCAACGCTTCAGATTGGCTGTCGCAACGAACTTGCGATCGGCTTGCAACTAGAACCAGCTTTATATGCGATCCAAGGAGACAAAAGAGAATCAATTGAGCTACAACTGAGCGAGTTAATCGGTGAGTTTCCCGGAATCCTCGTCAGGATCATCGTCGGACGATCGAGAGCCCCCTGATAACTTTCCGCGAAACACGCGCGTATCCAGGCGGTTAACCACGAAACAATCGACACGCGAGCCGTCGACTCGCGAAGCGCTCGTCGTCGATCGCACATTCATTTACGATCGCGAGTGAAAATCCGCGCGCGCGTGTAAGAAGAAACAAACGATGGAGAAGGTAGAAGAAGACGGAGAAGAAGAAGATCGTGAAGAGAGAGAGCAGGCGCACGAGTGCGACCGGCGGAACAGGAGGTGCACAATGATGCGAGAGCGTTGAGTCTCGGGACCGGCGAGCGCGAGCCGCGAGGGGCGGTGAAAGGGGAGAAGGTAAGGAGAACGTCCAGTGGCATCCGTGGTGTAGCAGGAGGAGGGTGAAGCGACGACCAGTCGTGGGGAGTTGGTGGGCCTCATCTTGGCGGCCCGCGGCCAGTTCGACTCGAGTCTCGTGGCTCTTCGCGTTGGTGCGTCGTCGCCGAAAGAGAGAAGGCAACCTTCGCGAGGTCGCGGCGGCATTTCGGCGATTACTTCGTGCCGGGTTCCTCTTACCGAGTCAGTGCCGATCGACCGATCGCGTGAAAAGTACGTGCCGTTGCTGTCCTCCTCGGTCCGCGTGCTTCGAATAGTGATCG